TATTGAAAAGCGTCTACCTACTCTAAAAATCTTTCGAACGCTTGGGAAGATTTTTTTTTTGGGGGGGGGGGGCGTGGGAGGGGGCGTGGGGGGCGTTGGGGGGTGGGGGTGTAGGCACCGGGATCATCCTGCGCTACAGTCACCAGATGAAACGTTTGGACTATGTTATATCCAGATGAAACTTTTGGACTATGTTATATCCAGATGAAACATTTGGACTATGTTATATCCAGATGAAACATTTGGACTATGTTATATCCAGATGAAACATTTGGACTATGTTATATCCAGATGAAACGTTTGGACTATGTTATATCCAGATGAAACTTTTGGACTATGTTATATCCAGATGAAACATTTGGACTATGTTATATCCAGATGAAACATTTGGACTATGTTATATCCAGATGAAACGTTTGGACTATGTTATATCCAGATGAAACATTTGGACTATGTTATATCCAGATGAGACATTTGGGCTATGTTATATCCAGATGAAACATTTGGGCTATGTTATATCCAGATGAAACATTTGGACTATGTTATATCCAGATGAAACATTTGGACTATGTTATATCCAGATGAAATATTTGGATTATGACATTTTTCAAGATCAAGTCTTCTACTTCATACCCGAGGTTGTGATCTCAGTTGACAAACTTTCCCATTTTTCTCAAACAAACAGAACAACATTATACAAGAGCATGGCATTGTTGAGTAGTGTTACATCATGGTCTCGCGGTAATTGCTGGTGACATGGAGGAGGGGGATAGACAGAAACAAAAAGAGAAAGAGCGAGAGAAAATGCACAACCTCCGAATCGTTTAGAATACAGTGCATGGATCGCTGGTAGCGAATCTGAACAAAATAATGAACAAGATCTGAACAAGGTGTGTATATATATATATAAATATATAGTCATCCGTGGATAAAAGATGTACAGTCATCACAAAAAAAGTAATCTCTCTATTAATGGCATAGTCATGGGGGGGGGGAGATATAATGTGTACAGATATCATACAAGGTCCCTGATGGACATCATTTTAAGCTGTAAGCGAAAAGAAGCTGTCTCGACTGTATTCCAGTTTTACAGCAGTTCATTTTCACTTTTAATCAACGAATCTATTTTGTTGATGTTTTCCTTTGTGACATATAAATGACCGATGAAATTTGTGAAAATCTTAGAACAAAATTTTTATACAAGGAAAAATTTATTTCAAAGCATAATTCACATAAATATTTTCATAATATAAAACGAATATAACATGGAAAATGACATATTTGTTTTAAAAAAAAATAAATAATTCTAATTGTACATCAGAGTGCCAGATTTAGATCTATTAATGAAATAAAACATCATGGATACCATACGACCTGGCTTCCTCTTCCAGACCATGACGTCATGCTCATAGGCAGACGCCTATCTTTTCAGGGGTGTATTCCCCCAACTAGGAAAAAGGGGAGGGGGGGAGGGGGGTAGTAATAGATGATAAAAACAACAACAACACTGCAATAAAACCTGAGTAATTAGGTCAACCGCCCGTTTCCAGGAGTTAGACCTTTTTTTTTTTTTTTGTTTTTGAACAACATCATTTTCATGTTTAAAAGCAAGAAATCCAAAACAGACGAAACAAAACACAAAACACAAAATAACATCATCAAGGATACACTAGATGGAAGTGAAAGTTAACGTTGCCGTAGCAACGCGCTGTTATTTTTAAATACATCAATTTATTATCGGTGACGGTAAATTTCAAGGATTGAAACAGAGCGATAACATAATAATGTCCTGTTGGTTACATTTTTTAAAAAAAAA